GGAAATGGTTTTTTGCTTTTGAATATTTTAACTTTATGCAAATAAATTAGTAAAATCTTATGTAATAATTAGAAGACTTGGTTCTGATAGAAAAATTTACCCCAAGAAGCATCTGGAAGCCACTCTAAATGCTTGTTATAATAGTGCAAAACTAACCTTAATATCATTAAAGTTATGCTGTTGAAGTGTACTATGAATTTGAGTTAAAAAAAAACTGATAAGCAACAATTTTTTATTTTATTTTTCATATGTGAAGAACAATTTTTTGTTTGAACAGGTGATATGTTGTTTGGAAGGAGCACGCATTGGCATACAATATGAAACATCTTTTGCTGGTGAGTTGCATACTTCGTATTCTTTTTTTTTTTTTTTTTTTTTTTTTTTAAATCTGTTATTGTTTGTGTTTGTAAATGATGTAAAATGGTAATTGGTATTATTTTTGACTCGAATTGAGACTGATGTCAATTGAACAAAAGTTGCAATTTTTTGTCACACTTAGAAATATGGAACAAGGTCAGTCTCTCATTTGTGCAGAAGACATAAATGCCCTTCTCATCTCGTGCATTTAAAAAATAAAATAAAATGAAAGTGAAATTAGGTTGGTATTTGTGTAGGCGAAGCGCGTGAGCTGTATCATTGTGTTCTGGAAAGCAAATCATTTCTTGAGAAGATGACTGTTCTCCAACACACAGTTCCTTTCTTTTTACCAATACGTGAAGTAGAAAACGATCTTTTATCCTCAAATGCAATGGTAATATTTATTGTTTATTTATTTTGAATAATAATTTTTTTTTTTTTATCTTGATACATGACTCTACCATGCTTTTTGCTTTTTACAGAAATTTATAGATCACATTGGAGACCTATTGCAAGCATACGTCGATAGACGAGAACAGGTATTTATTTTCACACAATAAATAAATGGTTGAAAATCTACCACGAAAATCTTCAAAAATAGAAAAAACATTTACTTGTCCAAGTTGGAATCCATGAAAGCATGCAGCAAATATCAGTGAGCATTTCGGATTCAAAATGACTAAAATGCCCTTGATTGTTATTGTAGGTTCGCCTCATAAAGGACTTGTATGGTAACCAGATTGGACAACTTTATCACAGTCTTCCCTACCATATGATTGAATTCGTTGTCGATGATTTTGATTGGTCAGTACTTATTTTTATAACTTATTTATATTTAAAAATTTCTGTGAGTAATGTTTTTTTTTTTTTTTTTTTTTTTTTCAATGAGGGTATTTTGGTCTTTTTAACAAGTGTGGAACTTTATATGTTGCAGCAAGGTAACAGTGAGTCTTAGGTATGCAGATCTGTTGTCTATACTTCCAACTGGTATCAGTGTGGTGGCATGGCCCATGAACCAATCAAAGAAGTCCCCAACTGGGGGCAAAAAGGGAAATGTGCTTCATGGAAGCAACAAGAGTCCAATTCGATTATCCTATGCTGAAGATGCACTTCGCACCCTTAGTTTGCCAGAAGGTTATACATAAAAATATTCACTCGTAGTTAACCAATGTTTTAAGTAAGTTACAAAAATGGTCCCTCTGCTTTCTGATTTTTACCATGTGTCCAAATTCAAAACCTTTCCTTATTTCAAGGTTTCGTATTGATTTTCATCCCTAAAACAAACCTTTAAATCAATATGAAAACTTAAAATAAGGACCAAAATCGATATGGACAACAATTGAAAAAGATTTATACGTTGCGGCTAAAATCAGAAAGCACAGGAACCATTTTTGTAACTTTTTTATGATTGTTATAAAACATCATTTAGAGGTCTTCAATTGACAAAAAAAATGATGTTCTGTTACTGAATTAGCATATGCGGAGATTGTGCTAAATCTTCCGGAAGCTCTTGAGCAAAATGTTGAACCCAAGGATCCTGTATCTACCTAATGAAACGCGCCTCAAGTTTAAAGCTGTACAAAGTCTGTTAAACTCAAACGAATGTGGTAGTTGTGTAAAGTTGATGTTCATTGACTTTTATTTCCTTTTTAAGTTCTCTTTTTAGGCACCGGTTTTTTATTTCATCTTAATATTTTTTTGTATGTTGTGCACTTTACTATTTTTACTAAAACAGGCAACGTATTCTAATTACCTACACTAGTAACTGTTGTAATGTAATCGATATTAAATGGTCCTTGTGCTTGATAAAATCAACCATCTCTAGTCTTATATCACAAGTTTTTTGTATGGATGATACTTATGGTTTCAAAATCTTACAAAGATAGTTGTTTTGGCTAACGGTGTTGTGAAATGACATTTATCCTTCCTATAATAGGGATTATTTATCTAATTTGTCTATATTTTATTATTGTTTTTATAATTAAACTTTTTTTTGACGTTTTGTTTGAATGTATTGATTGGTGTTTTTTTATGCTTTTGTTTACATTTCTTGAAGTTTTGTTCGTCTAATTTTTTTTTTTTTTTTAATTTTGTTTTATGTTTTGGTCGAATACATTTATTAATGTTTGACATTTTGTTCGAATAATATTTTTTACGGTTTGTTTGAATACTTTTTAAAAAAAATATATATTTTGTTTTGTTGATTGGTGTTTTTTTTATGCTTTTGTTTACATTTCTTGAAGTTTTGTTTGTCTAATTTTTTTTGAAACAAAAATTTGTTTTATGTTTTGGTTGAATACATTTATTAATGTTTGTTTGACGTTTTGTTCAAGTAATATTTTTTATGGTTTGTTTGAATACTTTATATATATATATATATAATATAATATATATATTATATATATATATATATATATATATATATATATATATATAGGGTAAAGTGAATATACCTAACAACCTTATATAAGCTTAGGTACCTAACCCCATCAAATTACGTCATTTTGCATTAAATTTTCATTGCAATCATCCAAGGTTCTTAAACTTTATTTACTTCAAAAAAAATTGGAAATTCATCATTATATTTCTCCTGCATTCTTTCGTTTGTAGCGATATCAGGTGGTATTCGATAGAAAGACGTGATGTAAAAGAAAGATATTGGTGAAAGTCCAAAGATTTTAGAAACAATCAAGTTATGGGGTTGAAGTTTAAGAACCTTAGGCAAT